GCGGCCTGCAACGCCCGCGGCGCTGCCGGGCTCGTCTTTGGCGGGGGACGGAGTTGTAAAGACGAGGCGGCAGGAAAAGCCGAGGGGAGGAAAGGGGAGGGAAGATCAGGTGGAGGAGGGAGGAGGAAGACCGGCTTTCAGAGCTGCGAGCTGGCACTGCAGCCGCGAGCCGCCCTCCGCACGTCCCCGGGAGCAGGAAGCAGGCGCTGCCCTTTGGGAAAATAACACAGCTTCGCTGTCGAGGCTCGGACTAAATGTCCTGCAACCAGAACAGCTAACGGGGCCGAGACGGGAACGCTCGCCTTGGGCCAACTCGTCGAGAGCCAGAGGATCTCCTGGTGTGAAATCAGTGCCGGCGTGCGGCAAAGCAAGGTGTCAGCCCTGGTTCACCCCAGCGTCGAGGTTGGCCCGCGGATGTCTTCCATGGTTTAAAGCGGTAGCCTGGCTTTAGACCCACACGCAGGGCGCGATGCCTGGGTAAAGGCTCAGGCACACGGGTCGGCACCCGGCGCCGCTCTCGTATCACGTCCCCCAAGCGCGCCCGCGGCGCGGGATGCCGTGGGGATCCTCCGCTGCTTCGGCTCAGGCCTCTTGGAGGAAGCGGGTGCCCCCACGAGGCCCCGCACAGGGAGGGAGCAACATCCCGGGCTCGAAAACGCCACGTCAGTGCATGCCAAATAGGGTTTCAGAGTCAGCGTTTCCCCCCCGGGGCTGAAGCAGAGGCTAAGCTGCTAACTTCTGAGCATCCGGCTCATTCTTGTACACAACGTTACTTCTCCGAAACCCCAGCCCGCAGCGGGGAGCTTGCGTCACCGCTTACGCCGAGGGGTACATGAGTACAGGACATGGCCAGCTCTGGGAGAATCAGACCCCTCCCAGCCTCTCCTCATCCTACTGGACCTGCAGGAAAGCATCAGCAGAAGGAGCAGCTGGGGGGTCACAAAGCCAATTTGCCATGCTCAGGCCGACGTGGCCAGGAGAGGTCTCTCGAGGCGCTGGTTGCATCCAGCCATTGCCCCGGCTCTCCTCGGGTTTGGCATGGGCAGTCAGGGCTGGCATTGGGGTTGGCTTCTGGGCCATGGTGTCCTGAAAGCCTCAGGTGGGCAATTAAACCCAGACTATGATGAAGCAGGTCAGCTCCGAACGGCCCCGTCGAGGGGGGCGGTTCGGTGCGCAGGCTTGGCTGGAGGTTGGGGCCAGCCTTCCGGAAAAGAGTGAAACACCGTTTCGGTGGAGAAAAGAGAATCCAGACACAAAAACTGGAGCTCCTGCCTTAGGGACACAACTACCAAGCGCTTCCCCGTGGGGCTTGTGGGACTCCGTTTGGGGTTGGCTGACGTGCACGGTGCGGGCGCCCAGCTCTGGAGACAGGCGCTGCCTCTGCTTTGGCTCAGGGCATGGCTGTGGTGGAGGTTCACGTGAGGATCCTTTGTGGGTAGGAAGGAGTTAACCATCAAGACCAGCAGCAGCTGAAGTTGAGCACCTTCCTGGGCCCTATAAAGGAGATGGAAGCCACCAGCTGGGTTGAGTTGGTGATGAGGAGGGTGCTTGGTGCTTGGTGCTTGGTGCTTGGTGCTTGGTGCTTGGTGCTTGGTGCTTGGTGCTTGGTGCTTGGTGCTTGGTGCTTGGTGCTTGGTGCTTGGTGCTCTCTCCTGGGATACTGCAGTTCCCTGAGATGGTTCCCTGCTCTGAGAAGGACAGAGGCTTTTAGGGAGGGGAAAACCTCACGCTGGCCCTGAGTGAGACAGTCTGAAGAGCGGGATGGAGGCAGGGTGTCCCTCTGTCCCTATGGTGCTTCTCCTTGGCTGGCTGCAGCTCACCCGTGTGTGACCTGGGGAGGTCCCAGCCCCGTGGGTTTGCCTGGAGCAGACCTGGCTGGAAGCAGACCTCAGTGCGTGCTCCATGGCCGTGGTGTGCCGGTTCTTGGACTCTGCCTGGGCATCTTACCGTGGTTGTCAACGTATCTTGGGGTAACCCTGAGACCTGCTGCTCTCCTTAGCTGGCAGGTAACCCCATGCCTGCTTCAAGCTGTGTGAGCGGTGTCCTGTCGTGCTAGTTGGAAATGCCTTAAAATGCTTTCCACTGCACCTGCTGAGCCCTGATCTAGAAATCTCTGATAAAGAGACTTATGAGAAGATAAACGGTTAGCGCATCCGGCCTCCGATCTTCCTGCTTGGTCTCGGGCTCCCGACGGGGGGTGTGGGGCAGGTGAGGCCCCTGCAACGTGGCCCCGGGGTGGGCTTGGGGCCGCAGCAGGTACCCGAGCCGGGGCTTTCCCCGACCCTTCTCGGGGGGCCCCTTGGGAGCAGTCCCTGCG